TTTAGTTGCTGGCTGGGGTTAAACCACAACATGCAGGATCTAAAATCTCAGTGGAAAGGTGACTTATCTATTCTCCAAAAGCACTTACCACCCAGTCAACTGACTGGCTGGTCAGCAGAGGGGGGACAATATTTGGGCCTGCTGGAGCCCATGAGCCCTGGGGACTTACCTGAGCATGGCACTTAGGTGGAGCTGGATAACCTGAGATAATAAATTTGTTATACCTGTTGCTTTCTCACCTCAGAGGAGACTGAGTGCAAATAAATTGTAGAATTATGGTGAGGGGAGCAATGAAGCATGTGGGAGAAGCAACTCAAACTATTATCCACTTACATTCTCAGGTGGCTTTGGTTTTGGATCACTGAGGGGTCTATAACTGCTACTATATTAAGTACAAGACTTGCCCCATTTTTTTTAAAATCTATTCCCTAGTCACATTGAAAATTATTTTGTGACCATATTAATTGTAGCATGTTTTAGAAACTAATCGTGAGTATTAACACCACCTTTAGGGGCTGTCAGTCTCTCAGGAGGTAACTTGAAAATCTCTCAAATGCACTTAGTTCCTATCAGCCATATCTGCAAATGTACGAAGGCTGGCAGGCTAGTCTTGGATCCAAAGCTGGCTCACAGCTTGTCATTACATAGAAAAGGGCAGGGACAAAATAACTTAATCACACTGCAGCCACCAATCTGTATAGCCATTGCTGCCAGCAGCACAGCCAGAGGAGAGGGAAAAGAGACTGGGAAAAATGGATGCAATGGGATTTGAGTCATGAGGATTGTGAAGAGACCTTCCAGTGCAGGGAGCGGGATGCAGGGGTGGTCTACCCCAGAGGGAAGATGCAGTGATATATTGGACATTAGCTGGAGACACTGATGAGACCCTGGTGACAGGAGGAGGCAGAGGAAGAAGCTCTCTGCATCCCTCCTTGACGGCAGATGGTAGACAAAGCCAGGACTACCGTTCAGTACATCTGGCAGCTCTTGCATGGCTGACTATTCCATAAATGGGGCAGCTTTGGCACAGGGAGAGATCCGAAGTGAGAAGACCAAGCAAGAACAGCAACACAATTTTTTTTTTTTAAATAGCTTGTGATTTTATGTGGAGTGATTCATGGTTCTGGATCATACTCTCACCACCACAATATTTGGTGTCATAGAATCATAGAATCGTGTAGGTTGGAAAAGACCTTTAATATCATCCAGTCCAACCATTAACCTAACATTACCAAGTCCACACTAAACCAATTAAGGGTAGACTAGATTAAACCATGTTCCAAAGTGCCACGTCTACCTGTTTTTTGAATGCTTCCGGGGATGGTGACTCCACCACCTCTCTGGGCAGCCTGTTCCAATGCTTGACCACTCTTTCTGTAAAGAAATGTTTCCTAATATCCAATCTAAACCTCCCCTGGCGCAGCTTGAGCCCATTTCCTGTGGTCTTATCACTAAGTACTTGGGAGAAGAGACCAACACCCACCTCACTACAACCTCCTTTGCCCACAGTCCTACTATCCCCTGACACTGGCGTGCTCATGCTGCCCTGGCAACCCTGTAGTTCATGTAAATTTTTTTTACTTTTTAATTGTGCTGAGGCAGAGGAAGCTGGAAATGACTCCCATCAAAGTTACGGCTGTGCAGAGAGATGCAGTCTCTCTCTCTCTCTTTCCTGAATCAGAGCCATCCCCAGCTACATGCTTCTCCTACTTTCTTTGCCAGACCATGCAGAGGAAGAAGGAAATAAGATTTGCTTCATAGCTTGGTTCTACATGATAGATCCCTCCAGAGCTATAAGCTTCAGCAAAGATACTTAAATTTTCTGGATCCATCAGCCAGCCTAGGAAAACTCTGAAGAAATGATGCTGACAGAGTTTGATAGGTGTCTTTGCTATCAGCACTCTAGTGTTAACACTCCCCTCCCATTTCTTGCTGTTAGATATGAGTGGCTTTCTATTCTTATTTCCTCTTTCACACAGGATCACATATTCTTCCCATAGTGGTGACAAAAATGGATGGCTAATTCATTCATCACAAGCACTAGTCAGTAACAGAAGGCCATCTATTGATGCAGAAAAATGTCTGTAACTATTCACGACAGACTTTCAGATTTGACATTTGCCTATAGGAAACCATAAGTAGCACATGACCTGGAACCACTGGCTGCTGTAATGCTGTTTAGCTGGTGTGGGTCTCAACACAAAAAACTGCAGATGACGTGTGTGCATGTGTGCACAAATACCAACAGTTTTAAAAAGCAGTGTCATACAAGAATGGTATAAATTGTGCATTACCAATGCTAACAAAATGAGAATAATGGGTTGATACCTGTTGGAAAATAGAAAAAATGGACATTACCTTGTAAAGGATCTTGTAACATTCCCCTGCAGGCATCTTTTAATGCTCAGCCCAATTTACTGCATTTCCATTTCTGTGAGCTTGAGAATACTCCTGAACATCCCTCCTGCCCAAGAGCTGCTGTGCAGTGGCGCAGGAGTACATAAGAGCTCTGCAACATGTTTCAGAGTTAATGAAAACAATGGTGACTTGCTATATGTTGTAAAAAGCTTTCACAGCTTGTGAAGATGAGCATGGAAGTTTGGGATGAGCTCAAAAAACGAGTCTGCAGGAGAAAATTGCAAGGTCTTTAGTACTTGCATTGAGTTGGCTGTATTTTTTAGTGATATCTGTCAAGCGGCAATGCTTGCAGAAAACTCTGGTCTATAATATTTCCTAATGTGTGAGCGACTGCCCATTGCCCAGAGCAGAGTGGGGACTGTACCACCTTGTTTATTCCCCAGGTGAACCCTAAGGCCCATTCCACTTGACAGCACTGTAAATTCATCAGTGAAAGGCTTACTGTTATTTCATTCTTGATATTGTAATGTAATCAACGTTGATGAAGGCCCTGGACCTTGTCCTGGTCAGCCTATAAGAACTGCAAGACACCTGTACATTTTAGGACAAAAATTATAAGAAAACTGTCTCTTCATGGTCTGGGAAAGAGATACCCTGTACTGTCTTCCCTACAAGTGTACTGTCCGGAACAAAGGCTCTACACTGATCCGGCCTCCCTCCTGCCTTTGCCTAGAGAAGAACCCCCAGTGGAGCTTCTTTCCTTTGGGTGCTAACTCTGGGTGATGTTTTCCTGGGAGGAAAGTGGGTGCTTGCAGATGGGAGCAGGGCAGTGGCAGTGTGGCATGGCGTGGCTCAGGGCTTGGGCCGCAGGGTAGATTAGAAGGGGTAGACGTTGCCATAATTAATCTTCTGATTTATTCTTATATGCCTGTGATGTGACCATTGCTAGGTTTCACTTCTAATTACTGTAATAAACTGCAGTGAGTTAACACATTAATCTATTTGTTCATCCTCCTCTATAACATCTGTTTAAAAAAAAAAAAAAGACTCGGAGCTGTTCCATCAAATCATAACATAGGCCACACGCTATTAGACAGCAATAAACACAAAGCCATTTGGCTCTGCTTTGGTACATTAATATAAAGCTGTCTCACAGGACTTTCAGTTCTTTAAAAGAATTAGCAAATACTAATGAGTGTTCCAGTCTGGAGAAAAGAAGGAGCTAAGCTGGGAAAGGAAGAGAAACAAAACATCTTGCAAAGTCAAACTTGCAGCTTTCCTACAAATCTATCTCTCAGCAGTGAGATAAAAGAGAACTTTCCCATTCTCATGGATATCTACATGCACATCATTTCAGGATAGGTACCTACCAACCTGACATCATACTTTCTTGGTGAAAGTATAACAGATCTGATAGTTGA